GGAAAAACAAAAAATATCGTGTATCCACAAGCACTCCAATAAATAAATAGAATTGAAACGACACTTTAAAATGTTTTCCCGATGAAAATGAATAATAATAATAATATAATAATAATAAGTTTCAATAAAAATGATAAAATGTAAATTTAATTTTATCATAATGAGTTTGCTTGAATTTCGTTTCTTCTGAGATTGCAGCAATGCACAACGGGTAAGCTAGTATATATTATAAATTTTTCAAACGAAAGGAATTGTACTGTACTAATTGTATATTCAACATATGACTCCATTACTGTTTCTACCATGCTTCTGTAACATTAACAAAAAATTACAGAAAGAATCAAAAGAATAATTCTCATTTACTTCTTCATTTTCAGAATGATTAATGTCTTCAAAATTTATATTAGTCTATAATATATATATACATATATATATAATACATGCACCAAAATAAAATTAATAAAACTTACTTTTGATGAGCAATCAATTCTGCTCTGACATGACTTAATTCTTCACTTACAGCCTGTTTGGCTTGGATTTCACTTTGTAAACTTGATTGTAAGCTTAGCAATTCCATTTTATCTAATTTTTGAGATCGTCTGTTACGCCAATTTTTATCCTTTAAATAGAAATTATATTTTCTGTTTAAAATTTACTATTAAACTAAATTGTTTTCTGATTCTAATGATACCAATTATGAATTATTTAATAGTAATATATATAAACCTGTCATTAATGAAAAATTTCTTCAGTCCCTTGAATTTTTCGCAAAAAATTAATATAAATTAACCTGTATATAGTGAAACCTGTCTAATGCAGAAACAGAAAGGAAAATTGGACCATATAATGGAAAAATAGGTATCTTTATCTGATTTAACACAAATTTAACAAGAAGTTTACAAGTCTAGCATATATAAATCATTTCAAAAAAAAGTCAAAAAATACACATAAGCAATACAGAATAGCAAAACATTTATACAACTAATATTACAGTTTTGGAATTTATTGGAATTTAAATGGAACATTTTTTCATATTTTTATTAACAGCTGTTTTTACTTAATATAAATATGTGATGTAATTACAAGTTGTGAAATTTAACATATTATTCCTGATGTGAGATTATTTTAAAGTGTTTTTACATCATATTCATTTGAATAAAATCAAGTCAAAATGTCTGCAGATAAAATGCACATTGAGCATATTATGCATGCTTTTAAGTTTCATAAAGGACACTATACAAACAGTAAAAAATACTCTTACTGTGTATGGGAAAGATGCTTGTAAACTCCAAATGTGTCAAATGTGGTTTTGAAAGTTTTGTTCGGGAAAGTTTGTATATAAAGGATACAGAACATATGAGTCCGCAAAAGCTGTTGAAGAGAAATTGTGGGAAGAAAATGTTAAGGATTAACAACTTGTGAATTTGCAACAACTCTTAGTGTGTCACCAACATGTATTGTTGAAACACTTCATCCACTTGAAATGGTTGTAAAACAAGCTAGTGATTGTGCTCTGCATGAAGTTTTTTTTTCCCTTCATTTATGAATAAAACAAACTGAATTGAGTATAATTTGGTCTGGCAAAGGTAGGCAGCTGTAAAATTTTATTTTATTTTTAAATTGGTTACTCATTTTTATCTTAGAGAACTTTTTTACGAATGAATGAAAGAATTAAAGTTACAATAAAAATATTTGTTATTAACTGAAAATCTGTTGTATCAAGTGATGATTATTCGGTTGAGTACCAAAGTACCACTGTATTTGATTAACATGATAACATTGAAAAATTTATTAATCGCATTAATCAAGGGATAATAGGTAACCTGTCTACTACGGAAGAGTTGTTCGGTCCCTTGGGGTTCTGTTATAGACCAGTTTGACTGTGTAATAATTTTGATAAAATGGCTAAGAACAGTAACAGTTAAAAATTTTTAAAAACTTTCAACAAACTGACAATATATTAAAAATATCTATATTCTGACCTTTTTTTCACCTCTTAGGAAAATAGCAGTGTTTCAGTGAAGTGAATCTTTATTTACAGGCTTTTCATTCACCTCAATACACAAAAAAAATTATTAAAATTTCCTCTGGCAATAGCACAATTAAAAAATCCTCTAAATAAAAACCAACTCTACCAAAAGACTTATTTTTCTTGAGATGTAAAGAAAAGACAGAATATAGACATTTTTAATATATTGTCTGTTTTTTTGGAAATATTTTAAAAAATTTAATTTATAAGTATTATCTATATATATAAAAATGAATGTGTGTGCGTGTGTGTGTGCACGCGTGTTCTTCATTCATTACCAACCATTTATCCGATTGCCGTGAAACTTTGGGAAATTGTTTAATATACTCCTGCGAAGGTTTCTGGCATAGTACATTTATCCTATGATAGATGGCACACGTGTATACGAGCATTTTACTGTGTGTTCGATTGATTTCAAATTGTGAAGACCATTTCCCCCCTCCAAAAAATATCTCTATATATGCATTTGTTATTTACGATATTTGTAATAATTTTTGTTTAATCACTTTATTTCAACTTTTTTTTTTGCTAATTATGTATTTGCTCGAACTTTGTTAAAACCTTAACTGTATCCCGAACAACAACCGAAGTTGTAGAAGGAAATTCACCTATTTTACCGATCTAGGGATCCCCCTTTTCCAAATTTTAATATCAACTCAAAATAATTTCAAAAGACAAATTACAATAAAACGGTTTATTACCCAACTATCAGAAATTTCACAACATGCCAAGGAAGAGAGGAAGGAGCAATTAAATAAT